GAAGGGTGATTGAAAGTAGTTGAGGTGATCTAGCTTGTTATGGTGATTTAATTCATTGCCTTCAAACTTATGGTTCAATTTTGGCTCTTATAGATGGCTTGCTACTGTACTCGAGCTGCTGTCACTCCTGTTTTCTAGATCCGCAGCCATAAAAAAGCTCTAAAGTTGAAGGATGACTAGATCCAGATGTTGGAACAACAGGTTCGCCTGTGTTTTGAAGTCTTTTTTGTCCCTTTCATTATTCAGTAGAATTGAGGCATCAAGCCTGTATGGGTTGAATTTACAGACGAGCTTTCTAGTAGTGTATACTGATGATCTCAGTTAAGTGAGTGAAATAGCCAAATTACTAGCACAGTGAATGGAATCGTCTGGTTAATTCGTTTGTTTTAGTTGTTTGAGTAGGACGGGACTCTGAGAAAATGGATACAAGGGACTGATTGAAGTGGAAAATCGTCTAATGTTGACTAGCAGAGCAACTCCTAGAGAGGGCTTGGTGAATGTATGTGCAGATCTTACGTGGCATCCAATTCTACTTACAGGTGCAACCTTCCTTTTGTTGACTTGTAAATCTAAACACCTAGTTCCCGCCATGTCCTGAATATTGGTATAGTTGGTAAGTAATCTATCTCTTATGTGATCAATCATATGTCCGGAATAGTCGACATCAGAAGCAAGAAGATGCAGCTGCTTGTGTATGATCAGAGGACGCTACATCGTGAAGCTTCATTTTGCTGAGATCATGTACTCCAATGATCAGACTTTCAGGTGAGGAGATTATATCATTGTATATGATTTTCTGTAAATGTCTCCCTGTGGGATTCAACCTCTAACAGGTTAGTCTATACATTTCATATAGGGAGAGGTAGTCCGACTGGACTTTGATATCATAAAGAAGCAGGAGGAGTTGGTCGTGGCATCCTGATAGAGGTGTCTGTGGACCTCTCATTTCTGGCATATCGATAACTCCGAGTTTGTAAGCTTGCATTTAAGAAACACTGATTGCTTTGCTGCTGTGCATGATCTGCAATTTTCATACAAGAGACATCTGGTCTTTTTGTTCATGTATGGGACTTCTCCGAATGGATCAAGATTTAAAATCAGAAGGATAATTAACTCTAAGGTTAGTGTTTAAACTTTCAGTTCAAGAACATTATCATCACCATTGATGGTGCTGCAGCAGATATCTTATGCTTGGCTAGTAGTCTTCTGTTTAAATGCTTACTGTGGTTGTAATAATACATTCAGGTGGTGGGTGGAAATCTCCTTCTCCAGTTGATAGCAGCTGATTGGTTTAAAGTTTATAGACCATCACCCTCAGATGTGGTTGCATTACATCCCCAGTGGTTGCATTACATCCTCAGTATTTTGTTGGAATGTTGAATTTATGTTACCAGACTGACAAAGTTGAATTCTGCCTCTGTATATTCGAGTCCAATCAAACTTCAGGTAGCTGCCTCTGTATATTTCTCTGTGTCCCTTTATGTGTGATATAAAGTCTAATCTTCACCCCTATAGTCTGTAGATGCTTGTGGACAGAAATGGAGTCACCATTTGGTTGGATAGAACTTCAGGCATGGCTGCATAGTTTGGTCTCTTTAATTACTACTCCTTCATCTTCTCTTCTTCACTAATTATTTGTTTCCATTTGCTCTGTATGTTTTTTTTTACAGGAAGTGGGTTCAAGTTAGTGAAATCGTATCGATCTGAGTATTTTGGCACTTCCATCAAGCTCCAATCTGGCTACACCGCTGGAGTTAACACAGCTTTCTATGTGAGATCAATACTAATAATTCATTTCCACAAGCTTTCCTTTCACTTTGTGTTTTTTTGGGTCCTGAAATGATCACTTGGATTTTAGCTTACCATTACTTAGCTGGGACAGGGGCTGTCTTTCACTAATTAGGAACCATTAGTTAACGCTCAAGGAGTACGAAGGCAAGCAACAAGCTAGTCGACAGCCGTGATTTCCTTCAACACATAAATTGTAATTTTGTTTACTAAACAATAGATTGTGTAATTGTGATTTTGGTCACTAAACAATAAATTGTGTAATTATAATTTTGGTTGGTAAACAATTTTGTTATATGAAATAATTTTTTTATTATAATTCTATTAATTTTTTATATTTTCATTTTAGTGACTCAAATCTCACCGAAAAAATTGGTCATATAAAATGAATTTTTTGGTTGGCGTATATGTTTTCCGCAACCAATTCTTATGGTTGCATTTAAAATTTTATAACCATAAGAATTAGCTGTAAAGGATATGGTTGGTCGCCATTCATATATTTTACGACCAATTATTATGGTTGTGTTAAATTTTTAATACTAATAAAATTAGTTGCCTAAGATAATATGATTGGTCGGTATATAGATTTTTGACGACCAAATTTTATGGTTGCATAACAATTTCATAACTAAAATGATTAGTTGCCAAAAATGATATGATTGGTCAACATATGTATCTTTGACGACCAATTTTTAAGGTTGCGTTAAACTTTCATAACCAATTCTATTGGTCACCAAAATGTTTTAATTGGTTGAGATATATGTTTTTCACGACCAATTGTTATGGTTGTGTTAAACTTTTATAACAAATATAATTAGTAGTTTAAAATGATATAATTGGTCGGCATATGTGCTTTTCACGATCAAATTTCATGGTTGCTTTAAATTTTCGTAACCTAAACAATTGGTCGTTGTAATGATATAATTGGTTGGCATATGTTAATTACCCGACCAAATTGAATGGTCACCTATAAAACGTACGTAAATTCTATTTGCGACCAAAAAAATTGGTTACTTATAGTCACATAAAATTGGTTGTCATTTTTTATTTTTCGCGACCAATCAATTATATTTCCCAACCATTAGGTTGGACTATAACAACCAAATTAAAATGGTCGCGAAAAAGTAAGGTTTTTTTACCATTGACGATTTTGGTTGCGAAAGCTTTCTTTTTTGCTACCAATCCATATTTTGGTTGCGCTAGGAATTAGTAACGCAGCTATAGCGACCAATGCTGCTACCAAAATATTTTGGTCGCAAAAAGGTATTTATAACCAATTTTTGATCTTTAGGAACCAATTTTATTGGTTGCAAAAAGCCATTTTTCTTGTAGTGTCATTTTGAATTAGTAGCTATTCGATGGTATTTGGCTCACTATTACACTAATGTTCTTGGTAATACTCAGGTTATGATTCAGAAGCTGGTCGCTAAAGAATTCATTGCATGTGTTTTGGTGGTGGTGATCTATATATCGAGCCTCATTTCATTAAGCTACTGGTAGGTACAAAGCATTGCTTGTATTGTGGTAATTCATATCCTCTTCTCGTCGACTCACCTTCCTTTTGACGCACATCTCTCTCTTCTTTCTTTTTTGTAATTTGATATGCAACGATATTGTATATTGTCTTGTTTCCCCTATACATCTATGTCAAACAAAAGAAAATGTTCATATTCAAACTCTAAACGCTCTTAGTTACATTGTTCGATAATCTCACCCTAAACATCGATGTTAGAATATGATTTGAATTTGATTTGAGATTTGTTCATTTGTTTTGTGTTTTGGGTCTATTTTGTTTGGGTTTGTGTTTGGGCTTTGTTTTGACCTTTTCCTTCTAGGTTTGGAAAAAGTGTTTGGTTTTCTGTTTGGAATTATGAGAAGAGTTCTATAAATACTCTTCATCACCCTAATCTGTTGTTAGATCAGTCGGGTTAGTTAGGTTTATATGTGCCGGAATTTCACTACAAAATAACATACATACAGCAGGGTCTTTTTCCACTTTTAACGACGAAAAAAACCGTCGCTAACAAGCCCGACAGCGGTTTTTATTACCCTGCAAAACCGTCGCAAGAACAACCGTCGCTAAGTAATGGCAGGGGTCAGCCCAACCGCAGTAAATGGACTTGCGACAGTTTTTTTGCAGCGGTTTTTCTGTCGCAATTGGTCTACTTTTGTGCCATTAGATACGAATCTTTGCAGCGATTCCAGAAGCTTTCACGACAGTTTTGTAGCCCTGGGTAACTTTTTAGCGACAATTTATACGATTTTTAGCGAAACTTTTTGGAATATTTTTAGCAACGCTTTTTAGCCCATTACTACAACCTGCTGAAACATTTCAAATTTTTCATAAATTTCTAGAACCCCTGCAAAGTACCTTCAAAGTCTACATTCCCCATTATCCATGCCACACAATGCTAACTTCCAAAGTACACAATATTACTACACATTACTACCAACATACACTTTAACAAAGATAAAGTTCCAACTAAATCCATAATATTGAACTTTGACTTTCTTCTGAATCACCAACAGCTCATCTTTATCCTGTTTTAAAGGCAACCAAAACATATAGCTCAAAATCAATTTACATGTACAACTCAAAATCAAATTACATCATCTATATGAGTATATGATATAACTCACTTGGTGCATCTGTTGTAGTTAGAGGGGACTTTCTGTCTCTTCCTGGAGCTGGAAAAATAATAACAAGACAACAAATTCAAATATATAATTAATCACTTCACTAATTCATTAGTTACTCTATATATAGCTATAACCCAACCTGCTTCACTAAGAATTGAACTAAATTGGACTAGAATGGGAATACTGTCACATTCTCAATGACAGAAAGGAACAAAAAAAAAAAAAAAGGAGACTGACTTTAAGTGTTAGCATGGAATACATGCAACAGGGTTATGAGCTTGCAAACATTCCAGAGGGGAAAAGAACAGAATTAGACATATTTAATATACATTTATGCGACCAGAGGCCTTGTGAAACCAGGGAGGAGTATGCGTGATAAAACAAACAGTCATAATCAGCAAGGAAACAAGTCATTTGTTTTTTTACTTACCTTTTGTCAAACCCGTGTAGCACTTTGGCTTGATGAAGATGGTGCATGAAACGAACTCTCCATTGGCCCCTTCTCCCTACGAAGATGTTGCAAGAACAGTGTCTTCAGTGTGTCTACTTCCATTTGCAGCTGATCCATCCTACTTCTCAGTTCAACTACCTCACTTTTTGCTTCCATCAGTTCATTTCTCAGTTCAATCACTTCACTTCGTAGAGCGTCTACCTCATTAGAGTTTGATGTCGTGGTAGAATTTATTGAAGCTGACTAAGAAGAAGGACCCAAATAAGTCGAGGGCGTTGGTCCCAAACCAGCACAAGGAACCCTCCCAGGATGCTCTGGCCCATGTACCTTCTGAAAGATCTGTTCATTATCAAAAGAACCTTCTTGTCGAAGAGTATGCGCCTTCTCCTACACAACCAAAAAAAAAACAAAAGAAATATACAACATCTAATAAGCAATTTTTTCATTTCCATTTAGATCTAATCATATTGTTCGTAGTGCTATTCATCATACTCGATGCAGTAAAGACAACAATCATAATAGCAAAGGAAGTTTACTCATCTTGCACAACATAGCAGAAGAGCAAAAAAAGTTTACACATCTTTACACATCCATAAACGTGAGTTTACAAGCCATGTAAGAAGCTTACACAAGAACAACTACCCTTTATCTTCTCCTCCTTGCTAGCTGGAAATATACACCCCACAAAACCAACTATACCAACTCCTACTGTGTGTATAATATATATATATCTGTGTCAAAGCTTCAGATTGCTTTAACATCTTACACCTACATCTACCGAAGAATATCAGAGGCATTCGTGCACACAAGCGGTTGAACTTATCTATCACTAGTGAGAGCAGAGAATTAACGAAAGAGGAAGAGGGATGGACTCACACAGGTTGACGAAATCCCAGATGGCAAAGATTTGTGAAGAAAATTGATCAAATCTCATCGCAGATTCACTTGACTCAGCTGATTCGGATACTAAGTTCAGAGCAATCAAAAAGCACAAATCAGATTTAAGAACTATATTACGCTCGAGATGAGAAGAAATCCACAAGCTCAAATTAGGTTTAGAGAGTACCATAAGAAATAGATGGATTGCGGTAGCAATCGATAAGCGGAGAGCTGGCGAGAGGAGAAAACGGCTTCGGAATAATCTGTTCGCAGAAAACGGCTTAGGAGGAGGAGCGGAATCGCCGAATTGAAAATCGGAGATAAGCTTCCAGCGAGATGAGCTGAGAGCTCTTTCTCGATAGGGAGGAGGAGGAGGATCGGAGAGCCGATGAGAGGAGAAAACAGCTTCAGAGGAGGAGGAGAATCGACGGATCGGAGATCAGAGATGATGGCGAGATGAGCTGAGAGCTCTTTCTCGATTGTTTTGTCCGGTGGAGAGCTTTTTCTCGATGATAAGGAATGCGATAAAAACAATTTTGTTGAAAAAATGAGTTTCCGTAAAAATTCAAAATTGGTTTGTTCTTTTTTTTTTTACAAACAAATTGGGTGGTTGTTTGTTCCGCTGGATCAATCGCTGCACATTTACATGTTTGGGCCTATCAGCGGTTATAACATTCGCTGGGCCATTCGCTGCCAAAAGTGAAGTGACTCGCTATGACACAACTCCTAACAATGGCCAAGTGTAACCAATGAAAGGGACTGCAGTATAGTGGCTCAAGTAATAAATATCGAATCCACGGGTCTCTAGAGTTACTATTACTCAGTTTCGGTTCATTATCTAGCAAGCCAGATTAAGATGGAAGAACTAAAACTACTCTAACAAACTACAGTTAAAGTTAATCTAATTACAGGTTGGGAACTCACTTAGGTATGATTCCCCCTAGCCACTAGCCAGATTAACGATTGATGATCTCTAAATTGTTTCACTTTCATTCACAATGCGGAGAATCCTTGACTAGACCTTGAGTCTTGAATAAAGGAACAAGGCCCTCTTGAGTCAATTGCCTATAGGGACGTATCCTTCTCTAGAACAACCGATCAAGGCGTTCTGAACTAGACCCCCTCTATCGAAAGAGGTTCTCAATCGGTACAAAGCAGTGAATCAACCCTCGACTAAAGTAATCGATCCAATACTATCAATCTATGGTGCTCTATTAACCTAATCAGGTATTCGCTCTCATAGGATCAAAGCATAATCAATAATCTCGACAAAAGCAGAATTGAATCATGAAAACATGCATAGATTGAATATGAACTCAAGATTATCAAGTAAGAGTACTAGCTCATACAATCATCCAATCAAACAAACATAACTAGTGTTCCTCAAAAGCTAAGTGAAGGGAAGTTACTCCATAGAGAAGAGAGAGACTGCAGTAAGAATCTTCAGATGATCAGTCTTCAAGTCTGAGCTTGTTCCTCGAGCTTCCAAGGCAAAGAAATTCTCCAATTCCACTCCAAGAATGCCCTCAAATCGCCCTCTCTCTCTTTGGTTCGTCCCTTGGGTGTTTGGGATCCAAAATCCAACTCTCCCCTGCAAAAACGCACAAAACAGGCTTTTAACAGCCAACGTTCGCGATCCCCGGTCAGAATCCCCTGTGAAGGGCAAAAATCCCCTACCGGGGATTTTAGCGTCACGATAGGGCCCCCTTCTATTTCTCAGAGAAGCCCGAAACCAATTTTCCCCTATCTTTGATTCTTCGTTTCTCCCTCGTTCGGACTCCAAAGAAGCGATAATGCAAGTTTAAACGAACAAGAAACAAAGGGGAACATGTGCAAATATCTAGTCATCAAATCCCCCCACACTTAACTGTTTGCTTGTCCCCAAGTAAATCTAACTCAAACCAATGCAGCTCTCCAGACCTCTATAGCAACAAAAAACCCCGATCGTCGGTAGAGGATTTCCTAGATCATAAAGCAGCTTACGAGGTCAACTGGTCTTCTAAGACGTTCCCTGTCTCTCTCAATGCGAGTACTAGACTCACGCCAGGATCATGAGAAGCAGTGGAAGTAAGACAGTCAGTTCATGGATAAAGGGACTCATACAATTCACAACCAAAGACTCGTTTTACCGGGGTGCCCTTTCACTTCAGTTCACCGTTGGAACCCCTTTTTCACTTTCATTTTATTTCTTTTTGTCTTTTTTTTTTTCATTCACTTGGCGGGAGTTCCGACTGCAGTCTTTCGCACGGTCGACCCTTATTAGTCGAGCAAGAGCAATTTCTGCACACCTGGCGCTCGCCAAGGTACTTCTTTTAACTCCTTTTCCTCAACTCGCGTGGAGGGTCAATGAAATTAAGGGGGTCAAAAACTCTATCCGTGCCCTTAAAAACACATCCTCGAGTAGGCAAACCGTTCAACGGGTGGAAGTTTTACTTGTACTAGAGACAGCTTAGCTTCACCTTGTAGGAGTACCCCACTAAGGATCACTAAAATCTCACTCCAAAACCCGATTTTGTGCAATGAACGGTGCCACACACGTTGGGCTTACCCCATGTTTAGGATTTTGATGATTTCGACATGGAGGACCAACTGCTTTCCATTTTCCACATGAGCACTCTGTTCGATACACGAGTCCACAACACAATCCAAACAGAGTCACCATTACCACATGAATTCAACGGTCTTAGCTCCACTAATTCACAAAATCAACTGGCACAGCAGAGAGCTAGATAGGAAAAATCTTATACTTCACCATCCTCCATAGTGCTACACTACCTCCCTAGGTTGCACATTACTATAGAGACTGTCAATTCAAAGCATACTGAGCAGGAAATTGGCATGGAAACACGTACTTGGAGCCCTCAAATCGAAATTTGGACAGTGGACTAGGCTCCAAGCACACACATACAGCCAAACATTCACACGCATACATAATCGAACATCCCCCCACACTTAAGCACCACATTGTCCTCAATGGAGGAAAGATTAGGAGGGTAGAACGAAGTTACCAGATCAAGGGTGAATGATGGTGGACGGGGCAGGCAGTGCATTCCAGGAGGGGAGAGTAGTTGGAACACAAACACCACACAAAATCTCACAAAGGTTGAGTTATTGACTCTAAAATCAAAGAACAAAACTGACTCAATTGAAGAGAAATAGGGAAAGAAATGCAAACCGACTGGTTGGGTTGCCTCCCAATAAGCGCTTCTTTCACGTCGTGAGCCGGACGATGGCTCCTAAGTTTCGGTCCACCCCAGAACCTCCTTGAAGTTGAGGTGGAGTCTCAAGTCACGAGCATGTGGTAGGACAGGTGATGGAAGCTCGTGCACTTGATGGGGATGACGTCTCTACCCTCGAGACCTCTTCTTCTCTTCTCTCGTCACATTGCCCCAAACCAGATATGACAACATCGATTGACCACCATCGCGTCCACCAAGAGGGACCGATGTTGATGTGGCCTTGGTCTGGCAAAGAGACACTGCAAATGGGTCCTTGCTAAGCAATTCCTCGAAGTTTGGTGGAGATATCACATGTAACTCATGGCCGGTGCAAGCCTCTTCCACCTCAACTTCGTCCTCAGCCTGGACGCCAATTTCTTCTTCAACCTCCCTTCCTTCTTCATGTGGTATCACCCCTGGGAAATGATGAAGAACTCCTTCTGCTTCACTTTCGTCATCCTCCACAACTTCTTTCTGCACCCTTTCTCGCTCTTCTTCTTCTAACACGGATTGGAGAGCAAGTTGCCAAGCAATTTCTTTCATGAGATCTTCTTGCATCTCCTCACTCATGCCCGCCTCTTCAAAGCTTAGTTTGGGATGTGGGAAGGTGTGGTCGGCTACGACAGGACATTCCTGATCATGATCATCACGGGAGCTCTCCGTGACAACTTCAGTGTGCTCCACAATGTCCTTGTAGCCTTCTTCTTCCTCCTCCTCTTCTAGTATGGTAGCAGAAGGGTGATCTAGAGCAGGTTGTGCACAAGATCGCTCAAGATCATCGACGCTCTTCTTAAGGCTCAGGAGGATCTCCTCTGTTTCACGATAGGCTTGGGTACAAAGATCCATCCTAGACAATGATCTCTCACTGTCTCGAGCAAACTGCTCCATGAGAAGCCTCAATTCATAGTTTGGATCTGGCTGTGGAGTGTAGCATGGCTCTGCAGAATGGCCCGTGAAGGCCGCCATGGGTAACTCCAGCTCCGATGGCCCTTCTAGTTGTGGGAGAAAGCCTTCTTGGTAATGAGGTTGTTCTTGATATGCCCAGGGGTCTGATTGTTCTCCGTAGTAAGGGGGTTGGTACTAGAACCCGAATCCATAGTCTTATCCTCCTTGATTGCTCCAGGGAGTCTCGGGGTAATACCACTCGGATGGTGGTGGATACCCCCAATGTTTGGAGAAGCCATGAGGATCCATGATTCAGATCTGCACCAACAAAAACTAAAACACCCATGTGAAAAGCAAGGGTGGAAAAGAAAAGAAAAACGCTAAAGTAACAAACTTCTGCCTTTCCTAATACTCTAGAAAGTCCCGGGCAACGGCACCAAAAACTTGACTCGCTATGACACAACTCCTAACAATGGCCAAGTGTAACCAATGAAAGGGACTGCAGTATAGTGGCTCAAGTAATAAGTATCGAATCCACGGGTCTATAGAGTTACTATTACTCAGTTTCGGTTCATTATCTAGCAAACCAGATTAAGATGGAAGAACTAAAACTACTCTAACAAACTACAGTTAAAGTTAATCTAATTACAGGTTGGGAACTCACTTAGGTATGATTCCCCCTAGCCACTAGCCAGATTAACGATTGATGATCTCTAACTTGTTTCACTTTCATTCACAATGCGGAGAATCCTTGACTAGACCTTGAGTCTTGAATAAAGGAACAAGGCCCTCTTGAGTCAATTGCCTATAGGGACGTATCCTTCTCTAGAACAACCAATCAAGGCGTTCTGAACTAGACTCCCTCTATCGAAAGAGGTTCTCAATCGATACAAAGCAGTGAATCAACCTCGACTTAAGCAATCGATCCAATACTATCAATCTATGGTGATCTTTGACCTAATCAGGTATTCGCTCTCATAGGATCAAAGCATAATCAATAATCTCGACAAAAGCATAATTGAATCATGAAAACATGCATAGATTGAATATGAACTCAAGATTATCAAGTAAGAGTACTCATACAATCATCCAATCAAACAAACATAGCTAGGGTTCCTCAAAAGCTAAGTGAAGGGAAGTTACTCCATAGAGAAGAGAGAGACTGCAGTAAGAATCTTCAGATGATCAGTCTTTAAGTCTGAGCTTGTTCCTCGAGCTTCCAAGGCAAAGAAATCCTCCAATTCCACTCCAAGAATGCCCTCAAATCGCCCTCTCTCTCTTTGGTTCGTCCCTTGGGTGTTTGGGATCCAAAACCCAGCTCTCCCCTGCAAAAACGCACAAAACAGGCTTTTAACAGCCTACGTTCGCGATCCCCGGTCAGAATCCCCTGTCGGG